AAAAAAAAAAATCTTCTAAAAAATTTAAAGAAAAAAGAAGTACATGCTGAATTCTGTCACAAAAGAATGGAGGGGAAAGGCACCCTACCACACACACTCAAACACACACACACACACAAACACAAACTTCTCTCTTAGGAGGAGAGAAAAGGAAGAGAGTTCAGTTTTCAGATTACACGGAAGGCTTTAGTGTGAGAGCGGAGGCTCTGCCTGGCCTCTCTGTTTTGTGCCTGGTAATGAGGTCTTAGATATCTTGTAAATCATTAGACCCTTTTGTTTGCTTGTTTTTTGAGACAAGGTTTCTTTGTGCACTCCTGGCTTTCCTGAAACTACCTCTGTAGACCAGGCTGGCCCTCTGCTTCCAGAGTGAAGGGATTAAAGGTTTGTGACATCACCACCTGGCCTAGACTGGTCACTCTTAAATTATAGGGAAAGTGTATTTTATGGTAACTGCTCATTGCGGTTGTTGTGTGGTAACTTCTTTGTGATAGGAACGGGTTTTAAGAAGACCATTTTGTTCCTCGAAGTGGAGGCAGCAGAGCTGACCGGCTGAGGAGGAGCTTTAAGTGATGAGTTCCTTTTTATTTCCAAGAATGAAGATTATGATAGGAATTGCCTGTCACATTTAAGAAAGTTCATTTCTATCCTGACCCTGAATGAGTCAAAGGCGCATTGTAAGAACATATGTCCGAAGAATACCATATTACATCCAGTTATTAAATAGTGAGAAACCTTTTATTTTTCATAGTTTGGAGGTGAATTCAATCATGTAGAAAATTCAAACTCGGAATGAGAAGAAAGCAAGCAGAGGAACTGCCAAGAATATGATATATTTAGCCTGAACAAAAATGCGTGTGGCTTGTGAGGAAAGGATAGTTCAGATTATGGCTGGCCTCTCCCTGAACTGTTGTATGTAAAGGTGAAGTTTTCATTTTTTGTGGGTTTTTTGGCTTTGGTGTTGGTGGTTATTGTTGCTACTGTCTTTAGTATATGTGTGTTTTTATTTGTTTTGTTTATTGTTTTTTTTAGACAGCGTCTCTCTGTGTAGCCCTGGCTGTCCCGGAACAACCTGCAGACCAGGCTGGCCTCAAACTCACAGAAATCCACCTGCCTCTGCTTCCTGAGTGGTCAGATTAAAGGTGTGCTGTGTGTGTTACTTTTACTCTGTCTGGACTGTTCTGGACTGCGGCTGTTCTAGACTGCGGCTGTTCAAGGCTGGTCATACCATGGCTGTTCTGCCTTAGCCTCCCCAGTGGTGAAACTACAAGGACTCACCGAGCCCAGCTCAATTCCTTTTTGCCCAATCCCAGTTTTCTCATCTCTGCCTTTTTTATTTGTATAGCAATTATAACAGGGCCTGAAGAGATGGCCCGGAGGTTAAGAGCACTGTACTCTTCTAGAAGACCAAAGTTCACACCCCAGCACCCATTTCAGGCGGTTCACCACTAATTGCAACTTCAGCTCATGGTCCCAATGTCCTCTCCCGCCTCCCAAGGGTACCATCCTCAACACACACATGTACACACAAATAAATAATTTAAAAAAGATTGCTTATATAAAAAATACCTACAGAGATCTATAACATACTGACAGAGGGTCAGTACCCACAAATAGCAGCTTGATAATATTATGGTTGTTGTTCCTACCACCGACATCAACCCTAACTCTAATTTGCTTGTTCTGGGAGTTGTTCTTGAGACAGTTTCAATATATATCCTTAGTTGGCCTGGAACTAGCTACATAGACGAGGCTGGCCTTGAACTCTTGGAGACCCACATGCCTCTACCTCCTGAATACTGGGATCAAAGACATCTTGTCACCATGCCCAAGATGAATTTGTTTGAGCTCTTACTGATTCTTTGTGGGTTCCACGTCATGCACTGGGAGCTCACTTATCTCTGTCCTCTCCAACCTGCCCTCTTGTCCTTGCCACCTCCCTCCCCGACCCCGAAATCAAAACCAAATTTAAAAGAAAAACAAAAACAAACAAAAACAAAAAGGAGAATCTTGTCGTGAAAGCTTAGTGTGGCCCGTTGAGACACACAGTACACCCTTAGCAGCAGGGCGCCATACTGTTAGCAGAGGAATGACAGGAATCGGAGAGAAAAGGAGGAACTAGGTCTTCATTTTCTTCCATGGTCTTTTCTTCTTTCCAGGTGTCCCCCCTTTTCCGTTACCTGGGTTGCAGCAGCGGGGGTTTGGAGATGTCCTTGCTTGGGTGCAAGAAGAATGCCTTGGATCCTCTGAACCTGTACTCATCAGAGTCTTTGTTCTGCTTTACTCTTTCAGTGAAGGCTGCTATGTGCTTAGGAAGCACGGGACCTGCCAATAGAAGGCTGAGGAGGAGCAACCATGGACTTTGAGTGTCTTTATCTGCTAGCTTCCTCAGATCCCACAGTCTGGAGCCCCAGCCCTGCTGACCACCTTCCATGAGAAGGAAAAGTGAATCTTGAGGCCATTGCTTACCGGGTGAAGCCCAGTTCTCTGGAACGCTTGTGAGGTCGTCTGGCAGTGTGCACCCAGTTCTCTGGAACGCTTGTGAGGCCGTCCGGCGGTGTACCTGGTTATCTGGA